AAAAAAAAAATGTGCTACCAGTGAAAACGCTAGACGAAAACACACACGTGCAACGGGAGCGTGACGGGTTAGGGCGGTTTTGACGCGCGTTTCCGCGTGCCACCGCTGTATTACCGTACCACGGTTTTGCGTTTTCGTACATGTGGAACACGTTTTCATGGAGCATTTTCGACGCTAGGTGCTAACGCGTTTTCACCCCGCGTCAAAACCCTGACCCTCGTGCAGCTTGATCTCTATAAGTAAAAGGACTCGTAATTAATCAATAGTTATTATTCGACGGACACTACTGCATAGTAAATATTCCGATATCCGCCTGTTTATAATATGATTAGAGGCGATGATGATTTGAGCATTTAAATATAATTTTTTTTTTCTTCCGCGTAACACTAAACACGTGTTCGCGGCCCATCTAAACACCGCAATTTTTAAATCTATGTCATTTTTACGCAAGTCATTTGCAAGTATTTTTAAATTAATTTTTGGAATTTACAAGTTCAAACTTTCACCGTGAAAACAAAAAATTTAAAGTTGGTCCAACTTCACTTGACCCACCAATTTTGACCTAGAACATTGAATTTAGCATCGAATGAAAGTTAATGGTGAGCGATCTTTTGCAAACCCGTTTTAGACTGCAAGTAATTTAGGTGGCCCGTATAAACTTTTGAACTTGTAAAGTTAGTCCACTCGAGTAGTTCCAGAACTTCCATATAGGTATCAAACAAAAAGTTATGATTAACGAGTATTTGAAAGTCCATTTTTAAGATTCACAAGTGAACCATGCACCCAGTAAGAACATTCAAAGTTCAAAGTTAGCCCTTTACAATTCGTCCTAAAATTATTTGAAAATAGTATCAAATGATGGATTTTAATTTAAAAATATTTGTATGTAATTTTTTTGCAAATTCAAACTTTCACCTAGAAACCAGAAAAATTGAAGTTGCAAAATAATGTCAATGATTTAAATAAAATTTCAGTATATAGATAGGTAGGTCAATTTCACGAACGTATCAAACACGATCCTTTTGTGGTTTAGAAATATGTTAGGATAATTATAAACGAACCGTTAGTAGGTGTAAATTTTATTTGATTTTTTTCCACGTTTTATTGGTTTCCCGTTAATCAAGCAGTAAAAACCACAGTGCGTGAGATTATGATTTTTCATTGTTGTAACAATATAAATTTGTGAGTCATAAAATTAACATTCAATTCGATTCCGTTTTACTTACTAGGCGTATTGCTTGAAATAACCGAACTTAGATTCTAGTTTTTAATCAAATTAAATTTAAAATATTTTAAAGTCATGTAATAAAAAATACCGTAGTATAACGCAGTACAACTATTGTTGTATTATGAACTCTAGTCTTAACAGTTTTACAGTGAATTTTAAATTCAACGTATCTATTGTAGTTCACCAGCTCAGGTGCCTAATTAATATACATCCGAACGCGCCTGTATGGTTAAATCCGTGCACGATACAAGAATGAGTGTTGATTTCCCGTGGACGCACGATTTGCAGAGAACCAAAAATAAAACTTATTGCCCGTTCAAAACGATTCGGCACACGTCAGATATTTCGCGTGTCTTTTAATAAACGAATAAATAATAAACCTTCCGCCCCGTAGCCAACACCACCCCTCGTTAATGATTAATACTCGAATGTACGCAAAATATTTTTCCACGTGCGTACGTTTGTGTTTGTTTGCTTGCGTGTGTGTGTGTGTGTGTGTGTGCGCGTGTATGTGTATACGCGGCAGCCTATGACAGTAAATATAATTATGCGATAATAAGCGGTGTTAGTGCGAGGGGATTTGCGAAAACATGACTCACAGATTTTAATGAGCCGTTTGCTGCGGCGTCGATGTGCATCGGCGGGGCCCTCTCGGTGTCGCGCACGACGACAGTGTATCGAATTATCTTGACGAGAGTATTTTATTATTCCATAATAATAATTTTAATTGAATATTTTCGATTAGTCGCTTTGTGCGTGTACGCGTCGCGTCTTAGAATAGGGGCGATGGACGAACGCTGTACGCGTTTGTTCCCTACACGATGATGCGCTTTTGGAATTTTATCGCATAATATTATGTTACAACGAATTCAGTTTTCATTTTCAACACAACGATATTCGGTTACTCACCCCGAATGGAAGAAATCATTACACGTCGCGTAAATCGTTTGATTCCCATACATGATGCCGAGGGATTTACGGACTACGCGCAATACGTAGATATGTAAATACGATGCGGTACATATTATATATCGAGTACAGAACACTATTGTTGTTTGGACGGATAACGAGCTCCACCGAGTCTACTCGCCTGTAGCCAAAAAAATATTATCGTTTCGTTATTTATCTTTCACGTCGTCGTGTACTCTTCGCACATTGCAAACGATCCGGATATTTTTATTTTAACAACGAATCGGAAACAGCAATTTTTTTTTCATTATTATTTCTATTAGTGTTTTTATTTTTTCATTTCGATTCGTCCAAATCTTTTTCTGCGGTCGTGACAAATTATATGTACATTCGGTTAAATCGTCATCTGTGTACTATGGTTCTCGTGTACGGGGGAGAAAACATAAATTATTATAACAGCACTTTAGTATTCCGTGACCAGCAAAAAATTATGCGAAACAAGTTTCTCTAGCCGAAATGGTATTCGAGTTGTTTTTTTCGTAGAATACAAAACCGTTGAGAGTAACATAATTATTGTACGGCGAGTGGGTACAATTTATTTAACTTGGCATTTGACCCTATCAAAACTACTTGAAATAATATTTTGTGCGGAAAATAATTGTACTCTTTAGCATTTCCCATGTGTATGGAACATCCATAATTCAATCTGTACCTATTTTTTTTTTTTTTTTTTGCTACACAATATTATTGTACAATAATAATTTTAAATGGAAAACAAAATGTATTTTATGTGAGATAATTCTGTAGTAATTTCACGATGAAGTTCTTTATTATTAATTTTATTGTAACATCAATACTTTACACGAAATGATTTACCAGGTTAACTAAATAAAAATAATTGGAAAAATTTTCTGTTTCACCGAAAATGGCCACACTAAAGTCAAATATGTTTCACTGTTTAACTTCTATTTCAAAAGTACATGAATATTCTATCCGATTTTTAGATCTTGTTACTACCGTACAAATGATTTTGTACAGCAAAAATATAAAATTCCTTGATTTCATGCTCCACTTGGAGTTCTTATTGAAAATTCGTAAATGTACAAATGTACAATTCTAAATTTAACTCATGAACTGAAACACGTACAATATTTGAATGTAATTTTAAATTAAAAAATAATGTTTATAAATCAAATGCGAAACGTAATAAAATGTATCAACTACTTACAAGATGGACCGTGAAACAGAGAGAAAAATATTGATTATTTCTGACCATTAATTATTATTATTTACTTTTATTATTTATTTATCTATAGTTAAATTTTTTTAGTTGTGTACGAGTATTTAGCGTAAAAATTATGCAAAATTTGGATCACATATTAGTCAAATGATTTATTAACAGGCAACAGCTGATTAAAAACTTGATATGTGCATGTACCAAGTTATGATTCAAATTAACGTGATACCGAAAGATCAAGGGATGATGGTGATTCGACACCCTCGCACAACAAATATTTCTGCTTAATTTTTTGATCAAATTTTTTCTTTTCAACCAAAAACGCTGTAAGTGGCGTCGAATGTTGCTTAAATTGATTGTACCTCCTATCCCACGATCATCGAGATAATTTCGCTTACCCCAATAGGTTTACTATGTACGACTTTATATAACGATTTAACGGGACAATACGGTTTACATTATCCGGTCTCCACCACTACAATGGACGACTTTTATATTACAGTTAGTGAATCATGGAACGAACAAACTCTTCGTTAGAAGAATATCACATTGTATATAATTATAATTATCTGTTATCTATCTATATGTATAAAAATATACTGCTAACATAAATCGCAAATAAACGATTTAATACACAGTTTGAGTTGGATTGCGAAATACACGGGTCCAGCTAGTAATATATATTATTTATAAATTATCTTATTGTACTAATATTTATTTGTTTATTTCTATAAGGTTTAATAATTTTATAAAAAAAAAAAATAATTAATAACCGTTTAAAAAACGATGTAATATTTTTATTACTATTATATTTCCTATGTACGTATATCATGCATAAATGATGCGTATATAATAATGTAGTCAATAAAAATTTATTGGATTTTCAAATTGATATCTAATAGTTATACCTCTGGACTATATATCATTATATCTGTACTTGGAAATGGGGTTTTACCATGGAACTTTTATTATTAAATAATATTATGTAAACGCGTGAAAAAAATTCTCTTTTGACTTATTTTCTTTTCTACCCTTCCAAATATGTAGTATATATATATATATATACAAACTTACATTATACACACTGCGCCGCACATTTTTATACATCCTTCGAAAAAAAGAAAAACGATCATCGCACATACGTACCATGTGACGTTAGAGAACCACTACCATCACCATCGTGCTGGAACCGTTTTTAATAAATAATGCTCGTTTTATATACACGTAACCAGACGATTTTATATAATATTATATTATTTCCAGTCATTCTGCTTTTATTTTATTTTTCTATACACTCTATATGTACTACCTATTCCTGCATCAGCACTAGCATTGTATATAGGTTTTTTTTTTACATTTTCAATTTCTTCTCAATTTTCTCCTCCGGCGATTTCGTTGAGGTTGTAAACAATATACCCGATATATTCCAAGAGGTCTATAGATATGAAACACTTCCGGCGGGTGTTTTTTTCCTTTCATTCGCCGCACCACCACCACTGTTTGTGTATATATAATCATAAAGTTTTCAGACGGTGGCGTATTCTCTCTCTCATCAACATTTTATCGATTGCATTGTATTTATATGGTTATATGTATACTTATTTAGTTTATCCTTTTTTTTTTCAGAATGGAAGAAACCGTACGGACATTGCTTCAATACAAATCCAAGTTTGAACAACTAAAACAAGATCGACATTCGGTGGCAAACTCCTACGAAGTAAGAAAATTACTTTTGTACTAAAATAATAGCGCGATTCTTAGAAATCATATATATCTTTCTATTAATTTCATCAAATACAATTGTACAAATATACTTGTTGAAACACATTCTGTTCACATTTCTTCGATGCATGATTGAACGTTTTGTTGAGTAGATGGGTTATTCGTACCGTTGTGAATTATTATGATACCATTAGAGCAATTTCAAATGTAAGGTTAGTCTTGAAGTTGTTTTAAGTAAAATATAAAAATAATAATACTGTATTATAGCAGCCACTAATATATAAATTGTTCTTAAAACGTTCGGGCAAATCACAAAATTCGTAAAATTTCCGTTCGAAGTTTGCTATCCGCAAATGTACGTAAACTCTTCCCTAGAATGTATCCTTGAAATATTTTTGCGCAGTGACGTGTAACATTATTATCAATTATATTACGGATTCTCAGATTAAATTAACGAAATATTGTATAAGCATGATCAGTAAAAGCGTAGATTTAGAGTAATATACCCGTAGATATTATACAATTTAACCTTGGAATTTACTGATTGTACGATTTCTATTTTCATAAAATTCCTTGCATTCTTAGAAACATAATATACACGTTTAAAGATTGATTTATTTTCCCGGGCTTAAATGAATTGCAAAACACAATTTATTTTCTCAGTAAACATTCTAAAATATTTATATATTTTTGTACGTATGTACACACATATGCGCACTTACCACCACGGTGAATTTATGGCGTATTATTGCTTTAAATATTATTAATGTACGCGTATACTACAGGTGCTGCGGTAAATGTGTACACATACAAACGGATAAAAACGGCGACATTTGAAAACTCCCGTGTAGTATAATATTGTTCCGTCCTCGAGAGCGTTCCTTTGTTACGCAGTTGCTTATTTATTTATGTTTTTTTTTTACGAAATCACAGATGATTCGGATGAAAAAGTATTTCGTGCGCTGTTGTCCTGCAAGATCGTATATTATTTGTGGACCTAGCGAAAACGGTAAACGTACAATTGCACAGTGCACACCCGCACTTAAGTACAAAGGTTAGGTTATGCGCATACGACGCACACGAACACGTATGAGTATACGGGTCAGTGGACAAAAAAGTCAACGACTTCCTTAAGAGGAAAATATATAACGAGATAATATTATTACTAGTGGGGGAGGACTCGCAACTCAGTCTATATTGTTGTATTAACAAGGTTTTATTTTTCAAGACGGTCAAAATTGAATTTTGCTTATGATATTCCGTCGTTATTTTTTAATCGACCGCCTCGGGACCATTCTCTAACACACTACAGCCGGCCACCCCCGCCGCCACACATCCATACACGTGCGTGCGTGCAAATGCATACACATCGCAGTATAGACGGTACAAAGAAATCGTATACGTCGAAATTAGGGTGGGCTGCCCTCTGAACGTGACCCTTTTTAAAACCGAATTTGGTTTTCGCGTTTAGCACACTGGGGGTTTATTGTTTTCTATTTCTACCCTTCCCCCTTCTCTCTTCCCATCTCGTCACGTCTCGTCTCTATATGTTTGCCGCGGCCAGTCTTCCCTATTGCAGCACCGCCTATAATCCTCTCGGGTGTCCTCTCTCTCTCACTCACACTCTTTCTACTTTTCTCTCACTTTCGTGTGTTGTTGTCGAGCTTGTCATAAAAAAAAAAAAAAATCAGAAAAGGGGTTTTCGGTCGAGTATTGATTGAGTGTGTGTAGTGTACAGTACGCAACTACAATACAGTCAACGTAAACGAAATGACGTCACCACCGGCCGTTGAGTTGTTGTCAGAGACATGTATACGGGGAATACAGAATTAATTGCGGAGACACGCCACATGACCAGAAAACACCGCAACTGCAGTGTATACATTTACGGTACATATATTATACGTATACTTACCCCCTTATTCAGTTCGCGCCTTGCCATAGCGAAAGGTTTTTCCGGCGAAAACGCTTTCACTTACCGAACGCCGTGCCCAGTCGTTTGCACACCCCCAGGGACCTTTTCGTGCGCGTACACACGATATGTTTTCAGAAAAGTATTTCATTTAGTCGAACGGGCGTATGGAACATGCATACGTAGATGTAATTACGTACCGTGGCCAATGAAGAATTAGTGCGTTCCTTTTGCGGAACAGTAGTGGTGACACGGATTTTTTTCTACCAACAGAAACATACATTAAACTGAAAGACTTCCAGAACGTGAACTTTCTTCACGTACCATATTCCACGTACAAAAAAAATAATAATGATAAGTCCCCCGTCACTGAACAATAATAGCTCTATATCTTCGCGAATAGGCTGCACGTTATTTTTCGTTACCATCTCACGGACAAGAAAATATGTGTTATTAATGTGTACTGTACAACGCGTATCTACGTACCAAATTTTTAATACTATATAATCCAGAGGAAAAAATAATTTGCCCAAACTAAAAGAAGTGATATTAAAACTGGAAAAAAACACTTCTCTCGTGTCACCCAATTGTATGTTTACGTAAATTTATATAATATTATTTTCGGTCGTGGCATATTTGTTTTGAATTTCGTATTCTGTTGGACACGAATTAACAGTATACGGAAGCACATTTTTTTCCCGATATGGTAGAATGTCATACATTACATATAAATATGTTATATGGCGGCAATCTTATACGATTTAATTGTACGCACGTAATGCGTTTTCATTGTTTGAAACCATAAACGTCACACACACGACGGACATTCATCCTGACAGAGTTGTCCGGTGTATTAAAACGTTGATTTGGGGCGTGGGGCAAGGATCACACGAAAAAATATTATTTGAAACCTGGACGATCACAGTGTACGAATGACGACAATATGACGACGATTTTAATAACAATTATACACTACCTGACTATATAGTAAGCGTGTGCATTGAGTATCAATGATGAAACCCATCTCTGGCTCGTACTCGTATAACGGACGAAACGTGATGATAATATTATAATATTGTTTTCGTTTCGAATCGAGTACACGTCGCGGCACTTTGAACGCTACCGAAAATACCGAAATGTATGGACCGTGTCACCGCCACCGATATTGTTGTAGTTTGACAATCGAACAATAATTAATTAATGCACTTCTAAAGCGACGAAGTACACGTAAATATTTACAACTGTAAAATAAAGAAAAAAGAAATATAAACTTCTTGCCTGCCCATGATTGCACGTCACTGCAACAGTCGTATTAGAATTTTAACCATAGCTCCGCTTTAGATGAGACGAAATCCTTTTCGAACAGTGTATACGCAGCATATAGTATGTGCCGTAGATCGAAAACGCGTTTTCGGTTGATATTTAAACCATATATGGGGGGTACACTAAACGGATGAGCCTAGTCGTAAAATTGTGTATTGCGTTATTATTATAGAATGGTATTCGTATTATCATATTATTATTGTCGTGCAATAACAGGATGCGTCACGTGGACAGCTGATCCTAGTCTAGTGTTTACCCGTCATGACCACGGCCTCTAAGTCTGAATCGGTACGATAAAAAATGACATAATTTATTACTATAGACTACCACGACGTGCACTCGAATAACGTTTTCGGGTCGGGTGAAGTAAAGTGTAGGCCAAATGTAAAATATCTCTTCATAAGACCCCGATGCACATGAAATTCAATACTTATCCGATTAAAAAATATAGAATATGGGTGCTACACGCCAATAGTCGATCAGTTTATGAGATGACGTAAGCGTTTTATTTTTGGTGATAGTAAAAATATATTTCATATATTATCATTAAAACTAGTGTCCGCAATAAAAATATGACTAAAACGGTTTCGAAATCACGTCTCTTGTTCGGTAGCTGATTGTTCGTAGCTTACGCGGTTCGGGTTGTTATCGAAAATACCGTTATTATTATTATTTACGATGATCGTCATCACGAAGATGAACAAATATTATAATAAATATGTATCTGAGCAATACACATGTTTAGACTCTTGTCGAAAATTTCCTTCTACTCGGTCTCGTCGAATAGGCCACAAGACTAAATCTCTATAACCTATCTCACTATAACCTAACCATTACCTTCCCTCATACCCAAAAATACTAAAATGTTTACAATACTTACTAAATAACTCATTATCGTGTAAGAAACGTGTTTATGATTTCATTGTCTTGCACTGAGTCTTCGTATAAAAAGACATCAATAACGGTCTGCCGTGTGAAGACAATCGACGTAGCTGCTCGTTTAAATTATCCTGCCTCATTGCAACATAGTAATTATTCACAGCCGTTTCTAAATATGTATATGTATTTTAGTCGCATGATAATTTAGAAATATTATCTATTTCTAATCTTACTCGTGCAACAAGCTTAGAATTTCATGCCATAGCGGTTTTCTGAAACCTTCGGAAAAAAAAGGAAAATAAAATGTTTTGATTATACGATTATTCGATTATTTAAGATCTCCGTTTCTTACATTTTTCTGTACATTCGTGTTGTCTTCTATACGTTTACTCATATATTTGTGATATACTGATCACACGCAGAAACTTATATCACTGTTGCATCACGTATTTGGCATGGCGATTACTTTAATAATTCTTATCGCTATATCGTCATGATCGTCATCACTATTGTATGTCTGTAATCGTCGATGGGCCGGGAACTTTTCGCGGTTGTGTCGTACGATGTTATCCGCGGCCGCGCCCAAGGGGTGGCCGGAGGCATTTTCCGTGCGTAAATACGGTTTCCGCAGCTGACACGCCCTCGGTTTTTTTCCGACTGCACTCCGCAGATAAGAGTGTTTTTATCGAACTCGCGCGTTTCTCTGGATATTATACGACATCCACTATGTTCAGTCGTAGTACATGTCGAAAGAGACGAGCCGCGTGTGCCACGTGCGATCACTGTTTGTAATAGGGTTTTGTTTATTGTTCGCCGCAGGTTCTTGTTGGGAACCATGCTTACGAAAACCCACTCACACCTTACCCGAGTCATTTTCATCG